AAAGTCACCTACATAATGTCATCTCAGCAGAATCTGATCCCCCAAAATCGTGTTAATTCACAATATGACGCTGTATAGCTGATCTCGCTCTCGCCATGGACTTAGATAATTCCGTGCTCCCTTCAATTCCTACTATGGTTGCTTGTAGAATCGTTTAACTTGAGACGTCATAGTCAAAAAGCGTCCAATTCATCGGTAATTACGATTATACTTATCAGTAGAAAAACTTACACTTTACATGTACATGTCAATAACTTGGCATCGGGATGACCAATTCGTATGCGAATTCGGACATTTTTGTTATTGAACCATACAGAATGTATTACTAATTTCGTTCAGGGTAAATTTTAAAAAATCCATCACATACCTCGGCCATGTACTATTACAGCGAGGAATAGCAACTGACTCTGAAACGGTGTCGGCGGTGAAAGTTTGGCCAAAATCTAATAACGTCAAAGACGTAAGCGATTTCTTGGTTTTTATGGTATCTATCTGTGTTTCATTAAGGATTATGCTTAGATAGTACAATCCATCTACCAACTCCTTCAAGGTCATAACCTGACTAAACAGAACGCCTCAGAGAGGTAGGGAGTATCTTTAAAAGACTAAAAAAGTCAAACCTAGAGCTGAAAGGATCTGAGAGGATCCTCAACAACAAGATGTTGATATTCAGTACTGACTTATGCGGATTACACTAAACCGTTCATCCTCCATACTATTGTCTCTAACACTGGATTAGGTTCAGTACTGTATTAGATTCAGAATGGTCGGGAAAAGATGATCTCGTTTGTTAGAAAACCGAGTGAGCGTAGCTATCCAGCCCATAATTTTGATGTTCTGTAGCATTAAAATCGGCCGTGACATTTACCTATACGGTATTACATTTTAGGTTGTAAACGATAATAATCCCTTAATATATATGCTAGATAAATCTAGGTGGGATGCCAATAGCCATCGATGGGTTGCCGCTTTGGCCAGTTACAGTACCGAGCTGGGAAGAATAATGATGATGTAGATGGTCTCTCTTGTGTATCTTATGCAGGTTCTGATGTCTTCTAGGCAGATTGTCATTCAATTACTATTGATTCACCTCTTATGGACGGTATTATCCTCGCTAGCCAGTGCTACTCAGGTGACCTCTGAGTGCGTACAGGTAGATGACAGACTGAGCTCAAAAGATTGGGAGGTAAAACAGAGAGAAGATATTGATATAGGGAGAGCGTGTGACCTCTTGCAATGCGGTTTTCATCTCAGGATGAAACCTATTTGTACAAACACCTTTGAGAACTTTCACTTACACGTAAACCACGGTGTTTCTAACCATTTTCTTCAGGTTGGTAAGTATGAATTTTGAAAAGTTCGTGTTACACAACCAATACGATTTTCTATGTGACGTTTCGATGACTAGTACGGTAGGTACACTGTCACGTTCATCAACAAATGACCAGTGAAGCGTATGCACACAACGGTGTAAAATGTGTACAAGTTGTCAACTTGAACTGACAATGTTTATATATTACATTGTAAAGTATGCTTTATATTTCATCGCACTAGTATTAAATGTTAAAATACCATCTGCATTTTGTTATTCGTGTCAGTTCATACTGTATGAGTAAATAAATTATGTCAAAGCTTTAGAGCAACATTATTAATGATGACAAATACGCACCAGGTCTAAGCGTCGATGAAGAAACTCGACACCTTTTGAATAGCTAACATGCAAACTAAGGTCACGTAAATATACTTCCTCGTCCCGAACCGCTCATACTTTCCGCCATCTTGTCTCCGCTTTACAATAGATACGTGGTCTTAACAAAAAAAATCGTTCGACTGTTGGGTTCTCGACGACGAACGTGCAGCGAGAATAGAGGTTGAGAAAGAACCAGTTAAGATCATCCACACTATTGCTGGACATTGAAGATTAAAAAGTGGCTTCACATAAGAGGACAGGTAAACACCAATACAGGCCTTAGTACAGCATTATTACTCTCGTGTTGAACAACATTAGAAGTTATTGTAACTAATCGAATACTTCTTGTATCAATATATTATAATTGTGCTTGTCGTGGGCATCTTCTACAACATAAACATTGGTGACCAGTGCTCAACAACGCTCTACACTACTGGCGTGTGTTGGTGTATTTTTCTAAATGTGGAACTATACCAAGACCCATGGAAATCCGGATGACCATGCAACCTAGATATACATGTATATCAATTGAAACAAGAAAAGGTAGTACATTTTCAAATAATTTTTAAAGTACCATTTTAAAATACGAATGGGCGTGCGTATATACATTATACGGTGCCGTCTCACCTAGCATACGTTTGGTATATGTTCCTATATACAGGTAAGGTGTTGGGTGTATGCTCGGTGAGAGTTTGTGTCATAGAGTGAACAATAGGATTTAATTTCAAGTAAACTATAGTCTGTGCTATAAAGTGTCTTACCATACGAATGTGAGCATATATTCATAAAGGGAAACAGCATAACAATGATCTTTGATGTTAAATTCTTCTAATTTATGGAATTATTTCACTTTATATAGTAGATTTTTCATCAAAATAATATCCATTTTTCATGCTTTACACTTTATCATGATAAGGGCTCTGAGATATCCTTATTTTAACTAACTAAGAAAATTGTTGCAATCAGTGATATACTTGTGAATTAAGAAAAATGACCGAAGAATGGTATTGTAAAGGTAGCATAGTAGAATGGGAGGACACATGCCCTTACTCGGGTGTAGTATTAAGTTCAATAACATACAAAAATCGCTGGCTGCCAATGTAAGGGGCGGAAAGCTATGCTTGAATAATTTTCTATAGATAATCAAAATAAACGTATTCCTTTTACTTTTTTAGGGCACACATACCATATACTACCACATGTCACTATAATTCTTTACAATGATAATGGAATACTCATCAGATTTAAGTAGACATCATTTCTTAGTTATTACTACCACATACATCAATTTGAAACAGACTACAACCAAATTAGTTTGTTTAGAAAAGTACAAGTAAACAAATTAACTTACTCAGTCGGGGCACGTACAAAACTCGTCGAGGTGAACGGGAGCTATATGACATTCAAACAGCATAACATACCAGCTCATTGTGTCAGGCACAGGCAAGGTAAAATTCTTTCGTTAAAGTTACCAGAGGAGCGGGGCCAAATAGGGGAAATAGAGGTAAAACATTTAAAATCCATCTTCTACACTAGTGATTACAGGATTTTTTTTAAAATTTAGTTTGGAACTTCCTTTGGCCAAGGGGACTCAATTTTATATAAAATGTGGGTTTGCATCCCCCCTGGGAGTAGAGGAGCGGGGCCAAATAGGGGAAATACATGTAAAACTTTTAAAATCCTTCTTTTGGGCCAAGGGGACTCAATTTTGTATAAACGTAGGTTTTCGGCCCTTTTGATGCAGATTAGCGAGGCTCAAAAGGGGAAATTGAGGTCACAATATCTAAAATCCTTCTTCTTCTGTACTTTTAGATGATTTTTTATCCAAATTTAGATTTGAGCTTTGGCTAAGGGGACTTATTGTGTATAAACAGACGGTGTAGCCCCTCTGGATGCAGAGTTGTGGCGCCGGGAAATTTGTGATTTAAATATTAAAGGTTACAAAGGGGGTTGGAGGTTTAAGTCTTCAAAATCCTTCTTTCTCTGTACCATCCGAGGGATTTCATCCAAAGTTTGCCAGGATCATCCTTAGGAAAAGCGGACTAAATTTTTGTATAAACGGAGGATTGTGACTGTGGAAATTTGAAGTTTAAATCTATAAAATCTTCTAAAATTTCATTTGAGGGATTTTATGCAATAAGAATAATTTCCCATGGTTGCTTTATTATCCAGGTAAGAGACAAAGGTCCTCTTGGCCTCTTGCTTCATTCAGTAATATAGATCAACCAATTGTACTTATCCTTAAATATGTGTGGAGAGAAGCGCGAGTTAGTGCAAAAACCTGCTTTACGATTGTTATAGCACAGCGTTCGTCAATTGCGCGCACAAATGCGCGCAAGTAATTATCATCCAGATTTAAATCATTTGCACACCGTGCTCACACCGCATATCGTGTAACGTTGTGCGATCCCACAGCTGGAAAATTTCTTCCGGTAAAATACAGTGCCTTTGAGTAATTTAAATGTGAAGGTGTTTACATATATTTTATTGAATGAAATTTACATATATTTAACTTTGAAATAAATATAGTTTCTGTTTATTCTTATATGTGATAGCGGATTTATATGGGGTCAAACGTTAGGGGATGTTCCCGACCCGCTTCACCAGTTCTGCTTGTAAACCTCCGGTTGTCAAAATCAGAAGTATGTAGCGCTCCTATTTGCCTTTAAACCTGCCAGCAAATGCCCTTTGAAGCCTTTGTCAGGTTTGTATCTATGAATCTAAAAAGTTGTCACTAGTGTTGAACTTCAAATATTAACGCTAATAGCTTAAAAGCTTAGTAATATCATAAAGTAAATGATTTAGTTGTGCAAGTCCTTAAGAATTATATATTATACCATATAAGTAAAGACAGGTTATGCGGTATATGCTAGTATGTACAATGTACACGATCCTTTGTGCTCCTAAGTAGTCCGTGTTCTACTGCAAATTTATTTTTATAATTTTATATTTTACCATTAAAGTACTGGCCCCGTTCTCACAAAGCTTCCTTGATTTTGAGGATTCCTCAAGTTTGAGGAATGAGGTGAGGAAGAAGTATTCCTTAGCTAAGATTTTCCTTAAGTTGGCTCTCACTATCGAACTTGAGGAAATCCTCAGCTGAGGAAAAGATTTCTGTTGGCATAAGCGGCCAGGGGTGAACTCTTTTTTGATTGGAAATCAATAAACAACAATTGTAAACAAACACATACTTTTTCCCGTTTTTTGTCAAAGTCGTCTGCTTAAATAAATATGGAAGCGGCCAAAAAACCCAGGTGTCCGAATTGGACAGGGAAAGACAGAGTGCTGCTTATCTCTGAAATGCAGCCACATGAATCGGTGCTATTTAGGAAATACAAGGGCAGGCGAAAGCCGATGCGTGGAAGGAGATTGTCTCCAAGGTTAATGCGTAAGTACTTCCCATTTGTTTATTGTCTTCCATGTTTATTTTATTACACGGTTAGTCTAGAGTCTCGTTCGACTTTTCACTATCGCACCTTCGCTAGTAAACCAGTCAACCGACTTTAGGTCATGTTGTCTATCGTTGTTTTCTTTTCTATTTTTAATCTCTCGATTGGCAAATTGACCAATCATTTCGTTCCATTCTGACACACCCACTGGAGATTGGGTATTTCACGGGCGCCCGTACAAATTTATAATTGTACCGACGGGCACATTTTGAAGCTGAATTTAAAGAATTAAAAACTTTTATTATTAAAAACAATGTTTTGTAGATATTTTTTGGCTTATATAACAAAAAACATTTTTCTGTTTCATGATTTTATGATAAAATTATGGACTTAAAAAATTGACGATCGTCCTTTTTTACGGCCGGTCTAGTCCGAATTATTCTGACGTTTTATCAACTTTTTTCATATCGGTTTGTCGTCAGATGGTCAAGTTTGTTATCGAAATTTGCATTAAATACAGCTCACTTTGTAACACATTTACCCTACATCAACTGTATAGACATCATTGATAGCATTCAGTAAAAGTACAAACGTTCATGGATATAAATTGTTTCATTCATTGCACAGAAAATCACAAACAAACATGTGATTTTAATCAGATTGCAAAATTGAAGAAGGAGAATTCAATATCCCATTATATTGAACCAATATAAAAAAATAATACGAGAAAGATAAAACAATAGATGTTTATATAATATGTGCTGCACTGAATATTGGGCTGACTATTCTTGATGAAAAAATGAACAACTATAGAATAAATTGAAATAGTAGAAAGAAAGGAATGAAAGGTCAATACAACAAGACACAGAATCAACAGAATTAATATGATCATATAAAGAATCAGTTACAAGTACTACCATGATTATTGACTGATCACAATATATTACTTAAAATTTCAGATATCAACATCAAGAATGTACAAATAAAGGAAATATTTATTCAATAGTTATAATTATACTTATTTAGGGGTATGCAATATAAAACTGTATGGACTAGCTGCAGGGGGGGGGGCATCCTGAATATGTATACTGTAGATGGCACAGTGTATAAATAAATGAATTGAAAAAAGTATATTTTGGCCTGAGTATTTTCTTACTTTTATTATGCTAGAAAAAGTTCAAAAACCCTATGTCAAGCTGGTAGGAGGTTGAAATACCATGGTCTGTTGTCATTTACTCATAAACAGGTACCACTATTATAACTGAAATCTTCAAAAAAGTTAACGGCTCTGACTGCCCAAATTGACAACATGGTTCACATTCTAGAATGCAAATATTATGAACTACTGGTTTTATATCGATTAAGACAAAAAGAAGTAAGGCTTAAATAAAGTTCAAGTATTTAATTAATTGTGATCTTCAAAATTCAAATTAATAGAAATCTTAATAATAAATTAAAATATATATTAATACAAGTCATTTGAATATGAAACAAATAAATACAATAATTATGAATATATCGAAACCTCGTTAGAATCATCTTATCAAGGCCAAAAAAAAAATGTGTGTTTCAGGTAACCCTACTCATACGCTAATTTCTAAGAAACCCAACAACTTTTTGATCAAATCAAGATTTTCTGCTGTTCTTGTTTTTAAACCTTTTGTCTGTAATTGGCGAGTTATATTGCATTTCAGCTGTTAATCAGTGTTCTAAAAACATAACTATACTCCATAAAGAAAGAACAATTAATTTATGCAATTTTACCGCTCTCTCCATTTAACTCTTTGACCCCTGAAATTTCACAGTGAACTATTCTAACCTTTGATTTGGAAGAGTTCAAATGTGTCTTTAGGGGTGAATGAGTTCAAAAAACAACTTAATTTATGCAGGCATGCTACCTGCAACACACACATTTTTTATCAGGCATTAATTAACCCCGAAAAATAGCCTAGATATATTGATATGTTCAACATTCCTTTAAATATTGATATAATACATGTACATGGTACAAATATGGTTATTTACGAATTTACCAATTCAATTACATCAAATCACATTCATGCATGTAACTTATATACATGAAACAAATTATATCCACAATAACTAACTATATATAGGAGAAAACAAACAATTATCAAATGTCTGATATAGTATATCTCTAGTGCTATAAGTATTAAGAAAAAGTACTTTTTACAGCAAGTAAGATGATATAAAGCTCAAATGTTTTGATAGAGATATAGCAGTATAAAGTTATTTGTATTGCGCATATTGTGACAATGGTTTTATTGAAATTGTGAATATACTGTTAAAAATAAACTATCAGGATCATATTTATAATCAATTCAATGACATAAGGTAATATTTACAGATAGAAAGTAATACGCATGTTCATAAAAAACCTGCACTCTCAATTTTATATTTTGTTACTTCAATTTAACCTTGAATAACATTTGTACTCTCATTTTTCAGACAAGCTGATATGCCAAGGTCATTAGATCAGCTGAGGAAGCAATATGACAACGTAAAGACAGGAGGTATATTTAAACCACTTGCAATATGTATGCATTATTGTATTTTTGCTTAACCTTTATATATAAATATGATATAACCTACTGTTTTAACATAGATTTAATGTATTAGATTAAAACAATGAATTACACATACATGAAAGTATTAGTTAACTTCATTATATAAATTTACACATTGTCTTTTGGATAATGAATGAATCCATGCCATGTGTATTAATTAAGATTTATTTTATTAAAGCAAAACAAAAATATGATGAAATCAAGAAGCCTAAAACTGGGGGTGGCCCAAGACCAGCATCTCCATCAGCTTCTCAGAGGTTGTTATTAGAGCAGATGTCAGGAAGGCCAAATTTATGTGGCCTCCCTATGGCCTATGACACAGAAGGTTTGTCAAATATGAATATTTAAAGTTGGAGTAATTAAATTAATACAAAATAATTTTCTTTAACCAAGCCCTGAAAGGCCCTTTTGGGCATTTCGATTCATAAGTGCAATCAGTGTAAAACATCTTGACCATAAAAAATACGTTTAATTATAAATGTAAGGTATTACAATATAATTGTAAATTTATCAATCATTTAAATTTTTAACCAAGTCAAATTTATGTGGAATCAATTTCTAGTTATTTTAAAATAATGTGTATAATTTTTTTATTACAGACCCCTGTCTTTTAGAATTTGTGTCTCCAACAGACATGGATGGGATTGAAATAACTGAGGGAAATGTCAACATTTATGACATTTCTTTACCTCTACCATATGTACCTGCACCTGAACCTGTACCTGTACAAGCACATACATCCATTGAGGTGGAAGAATCACCACCAGTACCGCAAAGAATAACTAAAAAGAGGGGGGAAAAACCTGATCTCGAGGAAGATGTGCTGAGTACTGAAAAGCATAGAGCTTTAGCAGAAATTCGAAAAATTGACCTGGAATGTGGCTTGATTCAGCTCCAAAAGGAGCATGAAGTTGAACTATTTGAGTTGAGGAAAAATATGTTATTAGCAAAAACCAAATATTATCAAAATAAGTTATAAATTTCACTTCATTATTTAAAGTTTTGTCTCATTTGCAAATGTGAACTAAGATTCCATGTCCAGGATACCATCTAGTGAATAAGTTTTTGGGGTGTTACATGTTTATATTGGTAAGTTTTTGTTTCTAAAAACTTTATTGAATAATCTAATAACATAAAACTACATACCGAGACAAACTTTCGAATCTTATACATTTGTATGCTAATAACAGTTAAACCAAAAGAAAATACACAAAACTTGTTACTGTTAACATTATTCAACATTAGTGAATCCGAAATACTTGGTGAATCTTATATAATTATCTACATTTCCACTGTTTTCCCCAAAAAATTGTTCAAAAAAATCTAAATTAATATGCACATCTATATCATATAATGTAATATCCTACCAAGTTTCATTAAAATTCCTTCATTATTCTAAAAGGAGTTCTTGTGAACCTCTCCCTCAAATAGTTTGAACTTTAACATTATGGTATTTATATGAATGATTACCTGTTGAAATATTTGATAAAACAAAAAGAATTAGGATCAAGACTTAATCAGCTACAGAAGGAAATTGAATTGGATTGCATTTAGAATTATAGTTTGTTTGCTATTAACAGATGCATTGTGCACATATTCAAGATAAAAAGTAAAATTAATTCAAATATTGTATCTTTTAGTAATAAAATATTTAAGGAAAATATCTGATTCTAATTAACTCCCTTATTGCCTCCCCTGTATTTATACCCTGTCCCCTTAACTGTTCACTTTCCTCAACTCCAATATTATCTATGTCTGCATTGATTATATCCCCCCTCTCTATCCCAATGTTGTGTAAAACTACACACGCTAAGACAATTGTAGCAGCCTTCTGTGGCTGTACCCTTAAACCAGTATGCAAACAGGAAAATCGACGCTTTAAAATGCCAAAGGTCTGTTCTATTGTTACACGTGTTCGGCATAATGCATTGTTGAATTTCTGCTTGCTCCTTGTGTCAGGTGTGTTGTATGGAGTCATCAGGTAATTTGAACAGGGATATGCCGAATCTCCTAGCAGAAATCCATTAAAGGTTCCTGTAATATATATAAGCAGAAGTTTTCCACAAAATAAGAACTGAATTAGAATAGCTTTGTGATATGGAATTCATGTGATTTAACATAAATATATATATATATATATTACAACTTAAAATGCATTTGATGAATTAATCTATGGACTGTCAATGAGAAACAATGTACATTGAAACAATTAATAACAGTAACATAATCTTATTTTGACATGTAGCATAAAGTTGTCATTTTCTCCACCTTTTGTCAAGAGAATAGCTCTGAAATTGTATTATATATTTTCATGGTATTGTGTACAAATGATAAGCACTCTGAGATGGTGTGTAATGCATAAGAACCACAACTCTTGGTCAACTATACACGTAGTTATCTCCCCTTTAACAGAAAACTTACTAAGTCTGTCACACATGCTTGTCTGTAGCATTACTCTTAAAATATTTAAAACATGTTCATGACATTTAGTACAAATGATAAGCACTATGTTGTACCTAAGCATTACTTATAAAATCTTGAAGTATTGATCAAACATAATTATTATTCCCTCTAGCTGTGCATGTCCACTGGGAACATGATTTGCCTCAGGTGTACAAATCCTTATTTGAAAATTTTAACCAAACTTGGTAGGAGGCATTATTGGTGAGAGGGGATGCAGATTCAGGGATTTTCCTACTCTTATTCAACTGGGTCCAGGGTCAGACAGATAGGGACTTTTGCTTTAAAAGACCCAAATTGGGAAAAATATGATTTGGAAAAGAATTTAAAATACTGTGTTACACTCCACTTGTTTCAATTTACAACTTTAGTTTTCTTTTTCTTTCCCCTTATTTTTTCTTTTTGACATCACCATGATCGGAATTGGGAGTTTTTTGGGTTGGCATTTGAATTTTATATTATTTTTGCATTAACAGGACCCAAAAACAGCCTAGGAAAATCCCTGAGATGTGTTTAACATAACAGAGGGATTTGATATGAATGCTTTGTGTTTATAGTGTTTGTCTTCAAATTATTTTATTGTTGATACCTTACCATTCTAAAAATTAGTACGCAAGTGGCTATCCCGAAACATTCTTGCGTCATGCACGCTTCCAGGCCATTTTGCCACACAAAACTCAAATTGACATTTGAGTTTGAATTATATTTTGTTGCACTATTTGAACTTAAAAACTAATTATCTGTAGTCAAAAAATGGTGCATGGCTATCTATTCTAAGACAACATCATTGTTATACCTGATTTGTTGACACATTTATTTATTCATAAGTATTTTTGCAAAAAGTGATCCGATTTGGGTACCGATCCGATTTGGGTACTGCCACCTTACCCCTAAATAAGTAAAAGCGTTGTATAACATGTGAATATGACACATTTTAAATCCATAATGAACCATTAACAGCCCAGATTGTCCATTTGATTTGGTACTAAATGTTTTGGTTATTTGTTGTACGAAATTCAAGAAGAGTTATCTTTCTTTAGCAAATCTTCAATTGGTGATGCGTACCAGCCAAATCGTAAAAGGCCCTCTTGGCAACGGACGCCGCCTGACCCACAGGGAATCGTATACATCTTCTGGCCTGTTGACACAATGCCTCTGACACCCTGTCCACACATCTGGCGACAGTTGCCGTTGACAGGCCTAGACTTTCACCGATTAAACTGTAAAATGCCCCAGTGGCGAAAAACCTTACGGCAGCCAGCACCTGCAAAAAGGGGGATACAGCTAAGCTCCGACTGGTTGCTGGTTGGATGTTAGGAGTCACTAGGCCGACAATAAAATTGATGGTTTCAAGTTGGAACCGGAACCGCTGGTACACGTCCCGGTCGCCGATCGGGTCAAGTATGCGCCTAAAAATACGACGGCGGCGTCTAACTCTTCTTCTTAATCTTATCATGTTGTGGATATTCGCCATCTTGAATGACTTGAGGAAATAGTTGAGGGAACCTTGAGTCTTCCTCAAATATATTTGAGGAAATCCTCAAAGATAAGGAAGAACATTTCCTCAAATGTTTTGTGAGAACCGTATTTGAGGAAATCCTCAAATATTTCAGGAAATCCTCAAATATTTCAGGAAATCCTCAAATTTGAGGAAAATCCTAGACTTAAGGAAATCCTCAAAGTTAAGGAAGCTTTGTGAGAACGGGGCCTGGTATATACATTTAGGACAAGGTGCTGGATGAAATTTACGCACTGATAAGAAGGTTTTTTAAGCAATAAACTGCATAGATGTGGCAGAGCAACTGGTATAACTGCCACATGTGTAGGCATAAAATTGTGTTGATCACACAGACACTTGAGACAGGCAGCTGGTGTTCGGGATCAAAGCAGAATATACCAATAAGTTCGGTAGTGACACTGTTAAGTCGCTCGGAGGTGCAAAGACCAACTTCAGTTATAGTCTCATAAGATGAAGCTGCTATTGGCAGTACGTTAGTAGTAATATAGAAGGGCTTTGCCACACCAAATGTAAATATATATAAATATGCTCATGCTATGCACCTTTGTTGTCGTCTGCTTTAGTCCCTCTGAACTCAGCTATTGTTCCTCTTTTCAGATTTTCTAGAGATGTTCCGAATAAATGGAAAATATTCCCGAGACACTCGAGCACGAGAGATCAGCGAGATGTTTAATGTCGTGTCATGTCATCAATTTATTCGAATCAGACAAGCTGTTATTAAGATAGGGTTTATGCTTATACTCTGATGTGTGACATTTCAAGTCCATGCAGGTAGGGCGTAAGAATTGTACCTGCTGCACACATCGCATGATCGTAAGAGGCGACTAAATTTGGGATCTTATCTTTTCTCTTCTTTCTAAACAACTTTTTTTTTCTTCCTAATGTCTCCCATGACAATGCCTCACTTTTGGCCTTTAGTTGAGCGTTCGCCCCTGTGAGGAAGGCTTTCCGTTCTTTCCTCTGGCCGAGACATACCAGAGCCTGTAAAAATGGTAGTTTCTACTCCTGCTCGTTTAGGAGCAATTTAGGAGTGAGACCGGATGGGGTGTTCTATGTTTCAGTGAGGTAGCACTAAAAAGTCGGCATCAGTTCCGCCATATCACCAGAAGACAAACACGAACATATCGCAGCCTCCCAAAACACACACGCATACACTACACATATGCATCTTTCACACAGGGGAGGCCGTCCTTACATGACCATAGCTGTTAATACGACGTTAAACAATACTAAACCAAACCAAACAGTGACATTTCAATGCACATATAAAGCTTCCTTTGGTATTTAGATACTAAGCGCAATTTCACTGTGAGTAGTCATCTTGAATTATAACACCTGAGGTGATATATGCTAAATAAGCTACATTTGTATGGCAATATTTACAAATACAATCAGCCTTCCTTAAAAAATTCTTCCTCTTTTGAAATGCCTCAGAATTCTTTATAAAATTCTTCCTCTTTGAAATGCCTATACAGTTCACTTTAAACGCTGATCAATAACAGAACAAACATTACACTTGTATAATAACGGTTTTGTGAAGAATGTACACAATGAAAAACAAATTTGAACTCTAAATTTTGTCTTTATCTAATTCAACATGTTTGTGTTTTATGGTTTAGCAGCCTTTTAACAGCAAAAGTCATATAAACACATTCTACCCTGTTGGTGTAGTTGCCTCCTTGCGCTGTTGCAATGGCAACATTAGAGTGCTATCTCACTGAAATTTGGTGCCAAAGACACACAGCATATTATTCAACCAGGTCATATCATATAACGCGTAAACCCATTGTCGCGCTGAGCCTGAATGCTTAACGTTTAGCAAGAAATAACATCTATCATAAGTGTTGTGATAGAAAGTTGGTAAAAGGATTATAGTGTGTTTCTCGGTTGTATTGGCAGTATATATCTGTATTTCACCTGTGGTTTACTGTTCTATAAGAATTTTGCAGATGGAATATGACAATGTTTTATACTACATGTATATTATAGAAGATATAACTTATTTATTTAACTCACAGAAAAACGTTTTGTATTAATTTTTTCTTGATGGTGATGCTGAGGTGACATTTGATAAGATTCGCAACTGTTTTGTAATACTTTTGTAGTGTAAGTACAGTAAGATCTTTTTAGAAATGTAACTACATGTATAATCTTTATTATTATATCTTTAAATGATATGCTTAAAATACCAAATGAGAAATTAATATGTGATTTTAACTGTTGTGTTTAACAGTTAATAGCTAACATTTGATAATTATAAAACAAATATATAAGAAATACATCTTCATTACTAGATTTTACAAGTATCTTATAACTTCTTAAAAAATCAATTGACAAAATGCTTGTACGTGTTAATTTATCATGCTGTTACAGTGTAATTTAAGTATCTAAGCTATAATTTCCATCCAAGACTATGCTAATTACTTAGATGATAATGAATGAATTCCGTTAAGTAAGCACTCCTATATTTAACTATTCTTAATAAAGCTCTATATCATGTATATCAAATATTTAAGAAATTTCATGGACGCCGGCATAGTTTGCCTCCGTGTCACTATTTTGAACATACTGTTGAGGTTGATCCTTATTTTACATGTTATATCCTTTGTTATACACTAGATATACACTGACGGCTGTACATACATAATGTGTTGATTTAGTAATGTGGAATTCTCTATTCTACGAGCAATATCACGTTGTTTAAAAGGAAATAACGTTTCAATAATTCACCAAAAGGAAATTAAAGTTAAATGGTTTGTTTTGCTAGGCGGAATATGTCATAGCGGTCCACGAACTCGAAAAATATAACCTCGAGTTTCTTCGTCTTGATTTTTCAGTTTCCTTTTTCTCTTTCACCACATTTCGTCAAATCATTTCATATCAGAATATGAATAAACCGGATTATTTTCAAGATTTTCAATATTCATGAAGAGCATTTCTTTATTTCTGCCGACCTTAGAGTTACAAGAATAGGCCTATATTTGAATGTATGTGCAATGTATCGATGGTTTTGACTTCTTTTGACTATTTTTGTTTTGTAATTTAAGCATTTGAATTAAATATAAATAAATTATATCATTTCTTGTTTGATAAATGTAAAGTTAATGCACGGTATAAGTATTGATATATTTGAGTAAAAACTAAGGTTGTCAACGGTTAGCCGGTTAATCACTTACTCGGTCGGAAAACCAAGAACTGGTTACCAAAAGCAATAACCGAATAGTCGTACAATAACTTACCCCTTTTGGGGGCCCCGTGTTTCTCTGGCTTAGATCTACATATTGTCTATAGAAGCAACCACAATCGGGGAGTTTTGTTAAAAAAACGGTGTTCAGCTACAATGGCATATGGTAAACCCCTGTTATAGAAGGGATAGGTGGGTTGCTTTTCGTATGGTATGTCCCATTCTACTGACCTATCGGGAATAGCTTTCTGGTTCACCAAAACGTAAGCCTTTTGACAACCATAGTACAGCATGATGGTGATCCATAAGGTTGATATAAAAATAGGTTAATAAGGTGGTACTTAGTAAGGTGTATTTAATAAAAAATCTCAACCATAACTTAATAATATATCAATGTTTCCGTTCATCTATTCCAGAAACGTCTACTCCTGGAAATGATGCTGTTGCGAATATTCCGACGGCTGTTTTTCTCGCTGATATTCATCTTGATTGGCCTGATTTCCTTAGTTTTGTAAGTATATTTGTAATAAACTGTTTCCGTGAAGATTCCACATTCCACAAATCCACCTTTTACAATGTACCTGCTACACACACGTTTCAGGTTAGAAGAACCAGGTAAATGCTATTACAGATGAGCTGAACAAAGTAAATGATATCACAGGTTAGAAGAACCTGGTTAATGGTACTACAGGTTAGAGGAGCCAGGTAAATGCTACTACATGTTAGAGGAACCAGGTAAATGCTAGTGCAGGCTAGACGAACATGGTAAATGCTATTACAGGTTTTAGGAACAAAATTAATGCTATTAGAGGTTATATAATTAGAGAAACAAGGTAAATGCTATTACTGGTTATCGGAACAAGATAAATGCTATTACAGGTTAGCGGAACAAGGTAAATGCTATTACAGGTTAGAGGAACCAAGGTAAGTGCTATTACAGGTTAGAGGAACCAAGGTAAATGTTATTACAAAAAAAACTGTTACTACGAAATCTTGGACATTGGATGTATCCGGCGATTATCTTTACAGATGCACATAGGTCCATTGTGCATTTATATTTTGCTTCTCGTTTGAAGTGCTCTGTGGTATATCTGGTACCATAACTAGCCGTCACCTGAGTGTCAAGAACAATGCGCGTGCTCACACCATATCACACCAGTGCTATATTTGCTGCATTTGTTACTAATAAGATAAAGGCCACAATACAAACACCGGTGTGCACAAACGGACACTGAACGAGGAAGCCGTCCAGATCACTTCGATCTGATACAGAACCATTGCTATGTGTACTAAAATCTCGCACTGCGACATTTGTGCAATACTTGAAGTTTTCATTTTGATACCAGAGAGTCACAAATCCCTTGAATCCACGAATTTCATGAAGGATTTTAAAACTAACTTGTTTTTGTCTGTATTTCTTTATGTATTGAGGGCATATATTTTTAAAATATATTATGATCTTTTTTATTCACAAATACGGAAATTAAATGCAAGCTAATAATTTATTGTAGACACATGTATATATATTTACACGATTAAAATGTGGTCGTATATATATATTTACACGATTAAAATGAGGTCCGCCCGTTCCTTGCACATCAAGATAAAACTGCCCATTTCAGAGTAATTTTAAGTACTATGTGGATAAATACTGCACTAAACACAAACATAGGGTCATTCTGAATGTATGTTGAATGCTGAGTATGATATTCACTAACGCTTCGATGAATTCCTCATTTTTTTCCAATCCTCAGTCCATATCAGGTTAACCGTAACTGGGCTGAATGAATTCAGTGATACAACGTGGGCATCATATTCATTTTCGTTTTTTCGGCGTTCTGTCCCAAAAGCCAAACACACAGAAGAAATACTCAATTGTGTAGGGGGCCCACACTTAACGCAGCAATTATATTATTTACCCGACCAAGCAAAGATTTTATATACGTGTAGCTAACAGTTTTATACAATGATATCATAAATAAGTTAGGTCTGTTCTCCCTTTATATACCCAAGTTGAAAGAGTGAAAGAGGTAACTGCATCTCTAACTATGAAACATCTTGTATAGATCAATTTACCTTGACTGCTTGATAGCATCTTAAAAGTGTTCCCTTGTAGGCATTTGATCTTCAAACTGACTAAAAGTATAGCACACGCATTTGCACCATCTGCTTTCATATAGACACTTTCGAACATGATTGTGATCAAACGTGCGCTGCGTACAACTTTACCATAAGGTATGAAACAGTTTTGAACACAAAATAAAGAATGCAAATGATTAGAACCAACGAAATCTTGGATACCATACATTGCGAGATTCGGAGAGTTTCAGTGACAAATGCAAGTTAGAAGTAATTAATTGATTTATATTAATTCTAAATTGAAAAAGTAAATTAGTTATAACGGAATACATGATTATACTATACATTATTATACTATACATTATTAAACTATACAGTATTATACTATACAGTATTATACTATACATTATTATATTATACATTATTTGTTTTGTTTAGAATTTGGTGCTTGCATGTATAATAAGAAAAAGCAACAGTATCAGTGGTGCAGTAAAAGTAAACAATAGATGTGTCCATATCAGAACAACCCTTGTTGAACACTACGACCACTCGGTGGCTTATCATTTGGAGTTGAACTTAACATATGTATTTTCGTTTTAGTTTCATCAGAATGAAAGGATTAACGGACTACTTTGATTCAACAAATACATACACCGAAACGAAAGGGAAACGTTTCGCAAGTCCAACACAACCCGTGATACAAAGAGCATCGGTGTTTACAAACAATAGGGAGATCGGTAACTTCAAATCAACAGCAAATATCTCGACTTCCAGACTTGATTTGAAGAAGAAAAATAACATATACAACATTGGTGAAACGATCAAAGTGAACATAATTCTTAACAATGGATGGGGAAAACCGATTTTAACTGGTGGTGACGTTTTAAGTATTTGGATGAAGCAACCTTCTACTAGAAATAGTGTGAGCGGATATGTAGTTGACAATGGAAATGGCTCGCACACTGGTTTTATTACACCATTATGGAATGGCACTTCAGAATTAATAGTTTCGATTGCAAACACAAAGGAACACATTGACATCTTTACAAATTATTTGAAAGATCATGGAATATTTTATACTATTGAAGCTATTTTTATTGAACATAAGGTCAATACTTCAAAGCCCGAACACACTCCATGTAATGTTGAGTTCGGGTTGTTTGGTAACGCAAGTGTATGCAATTTCACCAAGGACAATTTTGGTATGTCTTGGTACTGTAGGAGTCCGCAGAGGTACAATTGTAGTGATTGGATGTATTTTACCATCAACAAAAATATAAATCCATTAAGCAACAAGTCATTGCATCTGTTCAGGTTAGTATCGTCAGAATGTGCAGTAACCAATAGAGAAATGTTTTGTAGCCAAAGATTGCTAAAGATTATATCATGAAAATTTAATACAAGTGCAATCATATGTGTGTGTTTATAACTCATCCTTCAAGACATACCATGGTACCCTCTTCTTTTTCAGTCACCGTAGTTTACCGTTACCCCTATAGCCTTACTATCTCTTTTGAAAAGAGGCATTATATACTTTATCACATACCTGCTGATTCTTGTTATAGGAATACAAGCAATTTTCAGACCATGAACTACAACGTTCTGTATTGCACATGTGCAATACGGAATGTTGTATTACCTACTAGCCGGAACTTCTTTTTATGGGAATTCCCTTGTCATGGCGAACTAAAAAGTTCCCGGTATTTGCAAAAAATATCAAAGTTTATAAAATCTTTGTGTCGATCTCTACCAAATACGGAAGGTATGTGATAAAAGCAAGACCACACACTTGTGTTTTTCTAACGAATCAGAAAGAACTCATTTATTGCGCGAACGTATATATTCACTCGTGCACTCCGAGCACTTGTGAAAATATATTCGTCCGCGCAATAAACTCGTGCTTTTTGATTCGTTAGAAAAACACAAGTGTGTGGTCTTGCATATGTATTCATTTTTTATTTGGAACTAACCAGACTTCGTCATGTTTTGACATTCATTTATTCTGTTTCATCAGGAGTTTAGACCAATTTGGATTGCCACCCTTTGGCCCATAGCATCATTGATGGCTCATAGAAGGACACAACAGCTTTTCGGTGCACAGTTATTAATTGTTGGCATACTCTATCTATTATTAGATATAGGACACATATACACTACCTGTGAATTATCATACTCTGAAATCAGGTCATGATGGCGACCGTTATGATACTTTATCGTTAATCTCTTCGTTATATGACCCTTGTAACGTTATTCAGAAAACCCTGCTTCACAACCGATAAGCAGTGTATACGTGCTACTGGTAGAAGGGAGATAACTGTAACACTATCACTCTTCGTTCATGGATGTGTATTTAAAGATTTAGAAATATTATAAACGTTGGATGTATTATATTAATCCCAACTTTTTTTGAGTTATTAACAATATATTTTTTACAATACTTAATTAAATGCATAAATGAAAGTTTTTAATTTAATTAAATGTGATATAATGCAGTCCTAACACTTTATATATATGTTATTTTAGGACTAGCGTGCATCAGAGGACAAAGATAGATGTCACGATAAAAGACAGTAAGTAATCTTTAACATGTTTAAATAAAAACTGTGATTGATGAATAAGTGCATCTACTTTATGAATAGATCTTTAGAAACTAATTTGAGGAATTTTATCAACTATTTTGATCAGTCAATTCCGTCTTTGCGTATTGCAGAGTTATCTTCTCTTGGGAGCAGGTATTGATTGTTACGTCATTGGTCTGTGTGAGAAAATTACGTCGTTTTCTCAAAAATTGATGACGTTATTCTCACAAACAAGTGACGTAACAATCAATACCTGCTCCCAAGAGAAGATAACTCTGCAATACGCAAAGACGGAATATCAATGGAGTTACTTTTAAACTATTATTTGATGCCGTTAAAAGCATTCCAATTTTGAAACAAAAACTCTATCAAATACACAAGTATACAAATTATACCAAAATATCAAATAATTATCAGAATCATCTGATGATAACAATGTCATGAGAAAAGGCGGTAAATATTCTCGTATGTGTTTTAGTGAGGTCGATTGTTGCCTTTTTTTTCAAACATTACACATACATTATTAGAACTTCATAAATAAGATAGTTTGAATTTTCTCCGCTATTGAATTAATCAATGTCAGAAGCATTGTTTTTAAGCATAAGTGTACGTGTATGCCGTTAAGAAACCTTCTTGTTTTTAAGTTTAAGTGTACGTGTATGCCGTCAAGAAACCTTCTTGTTAAGCGAGATTTCCGCTTTATTTTCGTTTTGATACTACAGTCTACTAATGCATATTCATATCATAATGATCAATAATTATCAAATACATGATTCCAAATGTTAGATATGTGTATTTGTAGATGGAAAATTCAAGCTGCCGATATTGCAAAACTGCATGGCTATTTCCAAGAATTTGACCTGGAAAAAACCAGCGCCTACTGGGTATTACCAGAAAGGGAAATGGAAAAACCTGATATGCAATACTGAGTTACCACGAACACCAAAGGACTACTTCAAATGTCTAGAGGGACGTCGTTTACTCATTCTAGGTGATTCTACAAATCGTTTGTGGTTTGCGAATTTGATGGGTTTTCTGGGTTTAACTTTTACATCTGGCCGTTGGGATGAGATAAAGGACAAGGCTTGGCAGAAATATGCTCATGCAGAACTAAAGTCACGTCGAATTTCCATTGATTGGGCACCACACGAACTGCCGTTTTATGGGACCCAAGGTTCATTGAGATATAACATCAGATCTGAGGGGTTTCGGTTAGATGAGATTCCCGCCAACAGTTCTGACATCGTTGTGTTACATTGGTACCTTCATATTGCAAGAGTGTCTCATGACATATTTAGAGAACATGTCAGAAACGCTAGACAAGCTGTTCTAAGACTGGTAAAACGGGCTCCGAACGTTGACATTTTTATCAAAGGGCCACACTCGTTAACATACGTTGATAACTTACTTCCGTATAATTTTATTAGGCAAAAAGAACAGCAAATTCTTTTTGAAGAATTTTCAGATCTGCTAAATCGCGTTATATACTTAGACCAATGGGATGCAACTGTTGCTAACGAAAATGTTCATGTTCATCCAACTGTTTCCAACACTGTTGATATGATCCACACTATGTTATCTTATATATGCGGAAAATAGGTAAAAGAGACGAAGTTCAGATGATAATGACGACACATATTCAAATTTGTTAAAAAATAGTTTTTTTTGTTATACTGTTAATGTGGAAATGAAAAAAAAACTTGTTCTACTTAATGCTTATGCCCGGGTCCTGCTTCATGGTCTCTATGTGATCAACTGACTCATCACAGTGTGTGTTTATCGTCAATATTTGAAATAGTCTCACAAAGCACGTGTAATCTGCTTTTAGTGAATAGCGATGGTAATAACAACATTTGATTAAAATTATAATTAATATCTGAGGATTTGCAAATTAGATATGGATAAGAAATATTTGCACTCCTACTTTTCGACGAAACACGACAACAGTTACTCGATTTATGACTAGTTAAAATAATTTATTGAAAGAGAAAATAGATGATTAACATATAATCAAGTAAAGGGCAACAATACAAGTATTTGAATTTCATATACCTGTACATTTCCTCAGGTTCATACAAATGTACCAGCTATCATTCCTTCCAAGTTATAGCCTGGTGATCTCTTTCATGATAAATAGGTATGCACTACATGTAAATATATACACTATTAGAGTACATACATATATTGAAATGTTCACAATGGACGTCAGCTCATCAAGATGAACAAATTACAAGTAATGATATTTATCATGATCATCATATACAGTACAGTATTTCTATATATTGGGATGTTTTTAAATGAGGTTACCAATAAGGATACTGTTTAGCCATACATAATTTTGTATATTATTAATATAGTACACACACAATATCGAAACAGATATTAACACTAATTGATAAAGAGTTAAAGAATGCAAAAATTACTGTTTTATTTGTTGTTAAAATGTGCATGCACTCGTTTGTCGCTAACACGGGTTTATAATACACTAGATGATGTAAACCCGTGGGATGTTAATGTGCATACACATAATCAAACCATTGTTTTATCATTGCCTGCCTTATCAGGCATATATCTGACCATTAAACAATTATGCATTTCTTTAAGCAAATTCTACACATGACATGCGTGGACAAAATAGCAGAAACTGCAACTGACTGTGTATCTGGTAGTCTGTTTGAAGTGCATAACATTTGGAAGAAAACAATTTGATATAGATAAATTTGTACAATAGACTCCGTTATTGATAATATGCAAAATTTAGTCTTGACATGAAATTGCCCGCGTTTTGATACATGTAAGTTATTGCTTCATAACATGACAAAAAACATTTATCAATAAGTAGCCTTTGGTTTTTTGTAAATTTGTTTAGCTGATACTTTTTGTATCTGAAATACAATTGTTTCTTATTTTTTCTTCAGCTGTAAGCATTGGTTTTATGGATGTTCATAAATCACAATCATTGTAGATTGAACATGTGTTATACAATGTATGAACACCCATACAACGAAATCCATACGATGTTGTATTCTTATAGCACAATACGTTCTATTGAACGCTTATTTCATTCTATGTGTCTTGTATGTATTGAAAAGGTCTTGTATATATTGATGCATGATAGAATATATTGGGTAATGTAAGTTAGCACATGCATAGCCTTGCTTATGTAAATATTTGCGGTTTTACGATTTTACAGTAATTGTTTTTGGTTAAGTGCCAGCACGTACATTGTATTATGAACGTTATCTTTATGTTGAAAAATATGTTTGTATATACCATTGCACAAGACTTATATACTGATGTTAAATGATATTTTGAGGTAAATGCATGTACTTTCAGAAACTACATGTACATTTGTATATTCACTCTTTTTTCAAAAAAACCCGATCGAAAACAAGCACGCAGTATTTTGTAAAGGTATCGTAATTTACGTTACAGAAGAATTTGGAATGTTTTGATCAGGTTTAACATTTTACTTTATAAATGTATATCAAGTATGTATGATACACTTGAAACTATTGTGATGAGGTATTAACATTACGTTTGATAAACAGTTGATGCTTTTATTTGCTTAACTGTTTCCTATCATTTCGTTTTCATCCACATGTTTTTAAATCTGATCAAATATATTGTAATTACCATTCAATGCAGTAGTGATGTTCAAATAAAAAACCATCCATCTTCAGCAAATATGTTATGAGCACGCATATAAAATAACTTCTTCGTCAAATTAACAAAGTATGTCGTACATATTTGAGCTCTTGTGACTACACTGGAAATGTTGCTTTTTATTCAATCATGTTCACACTCATACTGATCTGTCTCCCGAAGTTCAATGGTAACGGTATCGTTTTATTTATACATCCGTGATGACGTCATTGGGATATGTCCGTTATCGAAATTGTGGCGGTGTTTCTAACCATGATCCATCAGTCTGAATGCCATCTCCTGTAAATCATAAAAAGTACACAGCTTCAGATGTGAACATATACTTTATGGCAATACACACACGTCTACTTTAATATCAAAAATATTTGTGAAATAGAACGGCACATGACTGTTGTGTGTAGCCCTTAGGTAGTTTTACATAGTTACGTTCCATATAAGGCAGCTAATTAGCTCAAGATCATTTTGAATATTTTCCGAATGTTTGTTGATTTCTGTTATGAATAGCAGTAAGAGTTATGTCCCTTGTGTCGTAGTCAGTAGTCACTTAAGGATGAATGGTCACTGGTCATCTGAGGGTCATCTGCTTGGTCAATTAATTTCAAGGGGACGCTGAGACTTCTCTATCAGTCAGCCATCTTTTTTTTTCTTTTCTTTTTTGATACAAATTTTAATTCCTCAGCATTTTGATATTCTCATTTTCATAGATCTTTGACATATGCATATGCGAATATTCAGTGGTTGTTGAAGGCTGCCAGAGTTGAGGAGCCCTGGAATCAGCCCCCCGAACAATAAAGTGTCCACTCGCAGGTGGTCTTTCACTATTCGTACACCTTACATTCAATAGCTATGTTTATACATGTGTTATATATAAATATATATTTTATATAGTTATATTAAGTTTGTAAGTTGCCCCCGCGCATGCATGTATCAGCCACCCCAACATTGTATCCGTCTGCGTCATGTCCCTGTAAAGTCTTTTACTTTGCACCCGGACAAGAATGGGGACGTCCATTACCTACATGCACGCAGTATATTACTGGTTTATTTTTTATTTTTTATTACAATTATTTTTAACAATACAAAAAAGTAAAGACTCATTTTGTTTATCTAATGATAGTATTCGATTAACAATTTCTAATCAAGTCCGTATGTATATAATTCACTTTTAATGCCTATGATTGAAAGAACCCCACTAATTCCACTCGTCCACTTTCATACATCCGTAAAGTTTGTAATGACTTACATTGTATAGGTATTTGATCTAGGTATGTGTACATGTAAGTGACATAAAAAGAGTTACACATATATTCCGGAAAATTTGTCCAGATTATTTTCTAGTTTTATAGTTGTGTCTAACCATGTGCGTGTACTATTCAGGTGTTGGACAGGATTTATAATATTCCGAATTGGGTAAGTTTTGTTCGCTTATACTTGCACTAGTGAATAATGATTGTAATTGATACACAAAGTTTCTTTCATATTAGTAACAAACAAAGTTATTTATGTTGTTTACATGTACACATTTCAGATGTAAACTGTCTGCACGCGTGACCCCGCGGTCAAGGTGTTTACATGTGTACACCTTACTACAAGCCATATTATACACGCTGCGTTAGTCACCATAATAAACCATATGATTGAAAATGACAACACTTTCTTACTGATAGTTCCATTAGTAAAGTATATCCATGTAGGCTAATCTGTCATAAATCCTTCATAAATGTATGTAACAGTTTGCTACCTACGTGCGTAAATCTGCAAACATGTTCTAGCTCCCGTTTAAAAATGTTAATCGGGCTAATTTGCTTTGTTTTTTGTTCGCTTATATGGTAGGTCTTAAATACCGCGAAACCTATCAAACACAATATTATATTCGTGCAATCGTAATTTTTTTCTTGTATTTTGTATCCTAATATCAAATACCTTAGCTGTCTCATATTTTTACAGATACCTATGTTTTGAAAACCTTTATCCATTTTGTTCCAATAATTGTCAAGATATCTACAGTTGATAAAATAATGTTCAAAATCTTCTACCTCTTGACAGACGTTACAGAGCTCTGAGTCAGCTATGGTCATTCTGTTTAACATCTGTCTAGTTGGTATTATATGATGAAAAAAATTCCATTTGAATACTTTATACTTATTGTCTAATAATTTACTGAAAACAAATTGTAGCATCTGTTTGATTTCTATTGATCCATCTAAACCGAAATAATCTATCCATCGCACTTTGTTAATGTTTATCACACTTTTTTGTTGAGTAGCCAACCTATATACATCTTTATTTTTTAACTTCCCTAAGTTAAGATTAACTCCGGTTGTTTTTATCATAAACGTTGTAGTTTTCTTTATTAAAATTAACCTTGGTTTTAATCGATTCTTGCGATTGTAGAATTCCTGCCCATTTTTTTGGAAAGGCCATTTTAACTTGAAGCAATCACTCATCCAGTTTTGTTTGTTTGCTAATTTGTCATAAATGTATTTTTCATTAATTCTACCATTTTTGTCAATTACATCTTCAACATAAATCATATTGCTATCGATCCAATTATTAAAGATTAATGTTTTTTCGTTGATCATAATATTTTTATTTCCCCATATGACCTCTTTTCTTACTTCAAAAAAGGTATCTCTATTATTTCTACCAGTACCACCTACCTTTAGCCATGACTCCAATATGTTTACATAAAAACTTGTTACATTTTTTCTTAGATCTTTAATTTGCTTAATTTTTTCAAAATTCATTTTAAATATTAACATGTTTTTCCCATAATTTCCGTACATCATTTTTGGTATAATTTTCCAATTTGCTTCATCCTTGTTTGTTAATCGTTTCACCCATGCCACCCTTATGACATCTATATGTGATATAATATCACGTATTTTTAACCCCCCATTCTCATAATTTTGTATCATGATATTTCTTTTAACTTTTTCACTTCCCTCCCATAT